CTTCCAGGGATTCCATCTCTTGTCCCGTCCTATGTTCTCTGTCCACACTACCTTGGTCTCTTTCCCCTCCGTCAGCTGCCACAGTCATCTGCCTCAGCAGCTCAGGAGCACAGCACACTGTTCCTCTTTCACCTAGCGCACTTTTAGCTGAATTTCAACCACAACAGCTTACACTCTTTTCCACTCTTTCTCACTCCACTGCCACTGTCTGATATTTTGTTTATGTCACATCTGCCCTAAGCTGATGTCATAACTTCCTGGGTGATGTTATTCTTCCAACTTCTTCCCTGGTTCTTCTCTATTCCAGCTCCTCTTGCCTCTGATAGTTAAAATTACTTTTATTTAGGACAATCCAGTCATAACTGCTTCCATTGCCCAGGAGACTAAAATTGTAGTGGTTCATAGCTGCTCCTGCTTTCCCACTATGTGTAACACACACCAACAGAAACTAGACATATTAATATAAAAATAACCTACCTTCTATATAATTTGTCCGCTCAAAGCACAGAATCTTGATTTAAAAACCAAGTGTACGAAAAAAACTACAACATGGGAGTGACATAATTTCTTATGTTCTCAGAACACAATAGTTATTGACACACATTTACCCCTTACAGTTCACAAAACGAGAAGTTTTGTCTCCCTGCCCTCCTAGAGGATGGGGGAAGGCCGCAGAGTGGAGAAACCCCTCCTCAGTATGACACAAACAGTCGCATCACGTGGGGAACTGAAGTGGCACAGCTTTGGGATGCCATCTGCTCTGCAGGAGTGGGCTTTTCAGTGATGTGTTTGCCTAAGTCACACATGTTCCCGTCAGCACATTGAATAGAATCACTGGTTCAACAAGCTAGATGAGGGCTGAATAATGTCACCTGTTAGCTATGGGTTTCATCTGAAATGGGTAGACAGGGCGGCAAGCTTGGAAGCTACAAAGGAGAACCCATGAAAGCTGCTCGAATCCCCTGACATTGCTCCTGCGTCACGGGAGCCTCTGCTTTCACTGTGACCAGGTGACACTGTCCCACACTGCTCCTGTGAAGACTTTTGTGAATGGCTCCTCCAGAATCAGAGAGATAGGTATTTCTTCCATTTTGAGACCATTGATTCAATCAATTTAAAGAGAACCCAATAGGTAATATATTTCCCAAGTGCTGGGGTCACACTGCGGCCCTTCCCCTGGGGCAGATGGACCCTGTCTACTTATTCTGTTAGTTAAGAACACCACTACTAGGCCAGTCATTGATCACTGGAATAAATATCCCAAAGAAACTAATTAAGTTTTCTGTATCTTTATTTTCTCGTTTATAAATTGTGACTATACAAAAAGATATTTCCCAAGGGTAGACAAAGCAGAAAGAATTATACTGGACCCAGCACAGTTAGCAACAGTCCCAGACCGTGTGTCTAGCAGTGACAAGCGACTTAGTGCATTAGCCAAGCAACAAAGACAGTTTGTTCAAAACGATGCATTTTGTTTCAGAAGAAGGAGCTAGGTTTCTCTTGCTGTATAATAATTCTGGTATCTCTATGTATCATGCAACGGTTCATAGTTATATTTGTGAATTTGCTTTAAAAAAAGAGATTATACAAAATCAGACAGCAGAACAAGGCCATGAGAACATGGACACTATAGTAAATTATGGACATTTGCAAGGACATTGGGGTACAGGATCAAAAATGGGGCATTTTGAAACAGTAATCTTCAGTCTCTGATTAATATGCCAGCCAGGTGCCATGCAAAAGTACAGTCTATATGAGGTGGTGCTGTCTGGGAAGCTGCTGGTTATGACTGAGATCAGCCAACCATGCACAACTCTCATTCCACAACAGCAAGGTATTAGTTCCCTTTAAGCTTAAGGCTGACAAAAGTGACTCCATTTTGATTTTGATGATGTTGGCATTTCTTTCAAAATAGTGATGTTAAGCTTTCCCACGTACATGAAAAATCACTTGAGTCATTATAGTTTACTACAGCTGGGTGGCTTTCCTTGAGACTGGTGTTTTCTTTTGTGAGTCCTTTCTTGGTGCAGTGCAACACCTCACAATTCTACAATTCAGTGTGCTTGTATCTAAACTCAGCCTTCATCCCTCAACAGCTATGTCTCATGTCTTATAACACACTATCCAGTGCCCATAGGATGCTTTATTTATATTCTTATGATGGCTGTGAGAAGACTCTTGTTCCTTTTTAATTTTTATATGATCTCTAACCTGCACCATAAGCCACAGAAATAGCTTCCCGCTGTGTGAGGATGAGCAACTGTTGAAGAAAAGGCACATCTCAATTTCTTTGTGATGCCAAAAGGGGTCTTCTTACCCTGCATCCTGCCTAACCACACACACACACACACACACACGCACGCGCACATGCACACACACACACACACCAATCCCAACAGTACTAGCTAAGGGCAGCTCCATTGTCAGATGGCAGCTCATACCGGACTTCTGGTCCAGGCTTCCCTCCTAAGCTCAGCACTCAACTCAACACTGGCATCTGTAACAGCTGAATACTGCCAGGCAGGCTTCTCTTCAGAGCTCCCGTTTGTGCGGGAACAATGGACTGAACAGATCCCATTGTGTGCTTACTCGGCCTTGCAGCGTTGTCCTGTGGGTAGCCAGGAACTCAGTGTCCTTCACTTGCACTCTCAAAGTCTGACTCAGAATATGCTGTTTGTATGAGTAGGACAAAGAAACGAGCACAAAGCTTGGACTTGATGGTGTTAAACTCAACTGACATATGAGAGGGTACTCTATAATTCAGAGAAAACTGGAAAGCTACTGAGAATTTTCTCTGTGCATTGCAAGGCTTCTTTGTTTGATGTGGGTTATCTGTGAGCTTTTGTATTGATTTAAAATTGTTTTTTCATTAACATGTTATTCAGTTATTCATGAGCCTATTCACTCAACAATTATAGGCCTATAACCAAGTGTTCATTACAAAAAAAAAATGGTAGCACAATTCTGATGTTATAAAACATGACTATTAACATAATACTGAAGTTATTTGCAAGTATTAACACAGCACTAAAAATTGTTGCTTAAAAATGTGACAACAATGAACTGACATTATTCTTAGGTCCTGTGGAGGAATCAGCTATTTCAGGTGAACTGTTTTGTTTCCTGTAGCTTTCTAAAGCATAACTCTGTCTTCTACTAATTATTTCTATTGATTAAGAATTTGAAACAAAATCAAATGCACTCTGCAGAAAAATAAGATCCTTATTAAGGAGCCCTTTTTACTGATAATGTTGGAGATTTTAAAGACTGTGTGTGTGTGTGTGTGTGTCTGCCTAAATGTATGCCACTTCTGTGGGGCAGTTATTGGAGCCCTGAAGAAGCTCTTGGATCCCCTGTAGTTGGAGTTCCAGGTGGTTGTGCTTTTGCTGATGTGGGTGCTGGGAACCAAACTAGGGACACTGAAAGAGCAGGAGGCATTCTTCACTGCTGAGCTGTTTCTCCAGCCCCTTCATTGATGCTGTAACTTTATTTCCAAAAGTCATGCCTGAATTAAACTTGTATCAGCCAAATGGATACCAAACAAATACAGCTCTTATATGTTATCTAAAAATTAGTTCTTCCCCTATGAGGAAAATTTGGGAACTTGTTTGCTGGGGGCACAGGGGCTTTAACAGAAACATATTGGAGAATGAAATATAAGCCAAAAAGTTAATAGTAACTGCTGAGATTGGAATTTTTTCTTATGTAGACATTCACTTAAAAATAGTTAAAAACAAAACAATTAAAGAAAACAAACTTACCAAACAAGAACAAGTTGAAAAACACAAACTGAGCTTTTTAAAAAGGATCATTGCAAATATTTAGAAACCTTTTTTCTCACTAAACTTCATATTTCTTTTTACATGCATTCAAATTCTCTACATGCTGATTTACTAAATTTGATTTTCAGTGTTATTTCTTTAGAAATAATTACTAAGTATAATATTGTGGAGATATGTAAACAGACATGTTTGGTTTCTAGGTAATGAATTATTTTTGACAAACTTTTTAAGTTAAAAATAGCTGAAATCTGTGTAAGCTAAAATTTTAAGTGTTTTGGGTTAATATCATCGACGATAATTAAATGATAACGATATTGATTCTTCAGCAGTACATTGACCTCTAGCCTACTCGCCCGTTTTATTTGCTGACTGATTTTTTAACCAGGATAGAAAGAGGAAACCTTCCATCAAATATGTGAAACAGACTCTTGGCTGTGTGCACATGGGATACTTTTGTACCCTTTACCCCGCCCTCTCCCGGGAACTGGATTAGTTGCAGGAAGCGCTCATATGTAGTATTAACTGAATGTAATATTAACTAATTTCCCGATATTCACAGCAACCCAGTAAGAGGGGCGTTATTATCATTATTAGTTTCTTATCAATAGTTTCTTAGTTTGCAAACGCCAAGCGTCAACACGCAGTTTGACTCCAAACACGGCAAACGTCACTACTACGTTCTTTCGTCGGGTCCGCAGACGCAGTCCCGACTCACAGATTCTGCGTCCTAACGAGCCGAACGAAGCTTGTCCTCGTGCTCACGCAAAAACTGCACAGAAACAAAGATCGCAAACGAACGCGAGCAATCGAGGTTCCTGTGGCTGACGGCAGGGGGCTGGCCCTGTCTCCTAGGCAACAGCTATTGCACACAGGCTGGACCTCGGCGCTGCGCTGCCAACATCTCCACCGGTGATGTCACTTCCTTGGTCTGTGCGGTTGTCCCCGCGACGCAGGCGGAAAGGCGGTGTTGGGTACCCAAGAGACTAGGCGGTCGGGAGTCACTTCCTCCCGAGGACGCTGTTGCCTAGCAACCGCTTTCCGCCTCCATCTTTTGCCCCGCCTCCATCTGATTCCAGTACCTGGTTTTGCACCAAGCCCGGGTCGGGGGCGACGTCGGTGCTGGATCACAGCCGCTGGGTTCTCAGGTGGTCACAGGGGCCCGGGTGCACGGAGCGCGGGCCGTGGTGCGTGGGGGAGCCGAGGGGACCGCGCTGGCTGTGCGCGGGCCTGGCGCGTGCTGGGCCGGGAGCCGCGCGGAGCTGGGGACGCCACCTGGCCAGCCCGGGGCGCTCTGGGCGGTGGCTGGAGACCCGAATGGGCCTCCTGTGTCGCGCGCGAGACAAGGAGACTTTAATGCAGCCTGGGGTCTTGCAACTCGGTGTGGAGACGTCTCTGTTTGTATGTGAGAGCAAAAATTGGCTTGGGGAAATGTCGCTGCTGCTGTTTGTGGCTCACCTTTGTTTTGAATACGGTTGTGGTTGTGGGCAAGCCATTTTCCAGCGCAGGGAACCTTGACTCTTGACAGTCCTCTTGGTTGTGTCTCGAAATAAGTCACGCTGGCATCTGCAATGCTATATATACATATATTTGTATGTATATTTATATATATTTTTTCATAATGGAAAGGTGAAATTACTTGACAGCATTTCGTTTTTGTACAGTTTATTCATCCTTAAAATAGTTGTAGAACAATAACTTTGATGTATTTTCTTATTGCAAAAACAAATTCATTGTGAGGATTTTTTGTCTTTATAAAAACACTGTTTACAGTTTTAGGTGACTATATTGACCAGGGTTCAGAGTGATTTCTCCTTCTTTGGTAGAAAGCGCACTAACGCCAGGCATAGAGCATCCCAATCATGTGAAAACGTCTAATTCTTTTATATACTTATTTATGTGTTTCAGCCACCATCAGAGGTTGAAGGGATCATTTCAGTTATTTATTGACTATTGTAGAAAAGTAGAGGAAAAGGTTACACTATGTCAGATGAAATCTTCAGCACTACTTTGGCATATACCAAGAGTCCAAAAGCTACCAAGAGAACTTCTTTTCAGGTAAAATACAACCAAGTGTTTGGTTTTGATTCTATGGAGACTCAGCACCCGCCGAGTCTCAGAGGGTCTGCATGAGATGGAAGGGGTGCCTGCTTCTCTTTCGCTGTGTTGTAGCTGATCTCTCTGCTTTGGACTCATTATCAAAACACCCCTCAGTGGCTACCCTGCCTTCTGAAGCTGAAAGTAAAGAAGCTGATCCAGAGTCTGTGTCTGTCTGGACTTGGGTTTTCTCTCAGCGTTGGGAGGGCTTGCTGTTGGGTCGCTATGGCTTCCAACTCCTCTTCCACATTTGCAGCAGTGGTTGTGCCCATCTCTGCGATGCGCTTAAAGCACCAAGGCTGAGAGTGTGCCTCAGTGGTACTATGTGCCTGTCATACTCGTCAAACCCCAAGCCCTTACCTCCCTCAAAATGTACTCGTCTCTAACAAAACGTCAATTTCTAACAACTCCTGTCTAAGTTGATGCCCTTGTCATTTTTTAGAATTTAGCTTAGATTGTCATCTGCAGCTAACTAATTTGCCTAATACTAATGGTTACCTCCTGTTTTGCTGCAAACCCCATAGAAGATGGCTCCAGTTATTGGATGAGTCTGATGACTTGGGTACAGAGCACAAAGTAGTCTTAGGGTGAACACAGGTGTATGAAGCGTACATGTGAAAGCAGAATAGTCGAGTAGTGTCGGCTTAAAACTTACTTGAAAGGCTGAGACATCCCTTCCTGAGGGGGAATTGATAGCGCTGATCTCTTTTCAGGATGAGCTGATCAGAGCAATCACGGCCCGCTCAGCCAGGCAGAGGAGTTCGGAATACTCGGATGACTTTGACAGTGACGAGATAGGTACGTCAGAGAATGTGCATGTGAATGCTTTCCTGTGTTTGCTTCCTTAGTTGCAGTCCACCTATCCCCTAACCTCTCATGATAAAACCCTGCCAGTGAATTCGTTAGCTTAGAATTCTGTGTCTGCAGTGAGACAGGAAGCCAACCACCTTTAATTTGTAAGAAGCTTATGGGTGACCTTTACATATTTCTGAAAGTGAATTTAAAAACATACTACTGCATTATTATTAGGTCTACACTAAAATGATTCCTCAGGATTAAGCTGTGTTGGAAAGTAGTTCATCTTTAAGTTCAACTTTACGAATTCTCCATGTAGAGAGCAAGCAGAGCTCACAGGTTTAGACACTGGTGCAGTGCTTCATGCAGACCAGATTTGCGCTGTAATAGTTGCGTAGTAACCGCTTCTCTGTTGCTGGCATAGAACATGGCCAAAAGTGACTCACAGAAAAAGTTATTTTAGGTTACAGTCTCAAAGGGATGCCAGTCCACCGTGAGGCGACCCAGAAGCTACAGGCATGGTGACAGGAGCAGAGAGGTGAGAGATACCTGCAACAGCAGACACACATGAAGCAAGGAGTGAACTGGAATTGTGTCAAGGCTATGGACTCCCAAAGCCTGCCCCCTGTGACACACCTCTTCTCACAAGCCAGAACTTCCTCCACAAACAGCGCCATCAACCGGGGACCAAGTATTCCAGTCCCCGAGCTGGTGGGGGCGTCTTCATTCAGACCACCACATTCCTCTTTCTGCAACACACAGACTCGTGGTCAGTGTGAAATCCATCTAGCCCAACTTTAAAATAAGTCCAAAGTCTCTTCTCCGTCTCAGGGCAATCAATTAAGCATAATCCCCCGAAAAATCAAAAAGGAAAATATGACGGGACAGAATACACACACACACAC